GATGGTTGTTTTAGGAAGCAGATGAATGCAGGCTGCCAATGTCTTTGTCTGAAAAAATTGTCAGCAATTGCCGCAGTACTGTGGGCATGCATGGCCCAGCCATGGTGCAAAAGCAGTAGTGAGCTCCACGGATGCAGGGTCAGGCACCCCTTGGGTTGGGGAAAAAGAAAGCAGAGCAGCAAAAGGGGCAGGGAGTACAGGGAAGGAAATGGCTAGCAGGTTGGGCAGAGGAAGCGGACTGGAATGATGCAAGCTAATGTGTTGGCCCCCAGTGTTCTAAGTAACTTAAATATGATGACAAGATTTGGCCACTGTAAATAAAGACCTGAAAGCACAGTCAGCATGAGAGGTCCACTAGAAAATCCGTTTAAACAGTGCAGCAAAGGACAAGAGAGAGGCCAAGAAGTCAGTGCTAGAAAGAAAATGTATAATGCCTTCAAGGGTCAGGCATCAAAAGAGCCAGTAACTAGTAGTAGCCAAAAAGACAGCTCCAGGGATGTTACATCAAAGAATTAACCCGACATTATGGTTGCTGATAGATGTGAAAACAAGCAAACAAAAAAACCCATACTTTACCAGAAGAGACGTCACGTCAGTTTGACCGGGCTCGCCCAACAGCTGCATAGACTGCACACTTGAGTGGGGGTTTTTGGCACTTATCTAATAGCTGATTGAATCTAATAGCCGATTAAAATCAGCTATTAGGTAAAAGTGCCAAAAAGCCCTGTTGAAGTATATGATCGATACAGATGCTGGGCGAGCCAGGTCAAACTGACAGAATGCCTCTTCTGGGCAAGCACTGCACTCAGCACACAGGCACACTGAGCTGAAAGTAAAGTGCTGTTTGTTGCGTTTCTTCACATCTATAAGGAACCTATATGAATGAAGACTGAGCCATGTAAGTGACATCACATCGTCTCAGGAACCTATCCACATCCAGCCTACTGCACTGGCAGGAGTGGTTTTTCTTTTTAACTTTCAAAGAAGCGCCTTTTGGAAGATTATTTTTTAAGGCTTTGCAAATTAGAGTGTGTATCTACACATGCAATTAATATGATTCAATAAACTCTGAAGCAGTTTGAGCTAGAGAAAACTGATCTCAGGCACAGTGTCTATACACGTGCCTAGGACAGCAGCAATTTGAGCTGGGGTGGAGCAGTGACAGGCTGGCAGGAGACACGGGGGTCAGCCCCAAACCCTGGGTGGCAGTATCAGGTGGTGTCAGGCCTGGCTGGGGCACAAAGGTCAGGCAGGTGTTTGGCCCCTGGCTGGCTGGGCTGACCAGGCACAATTTGCACTTATGGTCACTATATTCACGTGCGTTTTGCTGCAGGTAATTACTCTACCATAAGGTAGTACTGCTGGGGGCAGTACTATCTTATGGTGGAGTTAATTAGCTTACTGAGCCCTAATGCCAGTGCACGTGTAGATGTGTAGACAGTACTGCAGAGCTAATTAGCCTATTCCATAGTAAAGCACATGTGTAGATGTGCCCAGTAAAAACAAGACACATGGCTCCATGTTCCACATAGTTGCATGGATGATTTAAGTTACCAGTCCTGTATGTAGATTTCCCTAAGTGGCACATCATGTGACACTGGCAACATTAGCTACCTTCCCATCTATCTTTTTCTTCAGGTTCTCCAACTTGTATAGATATTGCCTTTATGTTACTAGTTTTAACAGGGAGGCTTTAAGTTACAGATCATCATGTATAACAAAAAAATAACCCAGAGAATTACACAAGATACAGAATCTATAGAAAGACCAAAGTTTGACATTCACATACAAGCAACCAATACATTTAGGCCAGAATCCTATTTCACTTAATGTTGACCAAAATGTAGCTTGAGACTACTGAGATGAATTATTGCACAAGAATGATTCCTGTCTCCTCTCTGGGTGCACAAGTGCCCCCATTATATGGGCCAGGGGATAGGGAGGATATTTGTGCATCTTTGGAGGGTGATACTATTCCCATAATGGAAGCAGTTATGTTCCCAAAGAGGGTATTAGAATAAATCCTACACAACAGTTGGGTAACTCAGTTAGTCTTAAACTGCCCTTTGGTCATCTGCTAAGTGAAACAGGATTCTGTCCTTAGTAGTAATACGAAGAGCTCTGTTCACTGGAAATAAAAACACAGCAAATGTATGTGCTGAAGGTTATCCCAAAATCTGTAAACACTTACGTGGGCTGGTGTCTGGTGCAACTATGATGAGGCCATGTTCAGCTGCAGCTTGATGAAAACCAGCTTTTGTTATAAAATTTTGTTCTGTGCAGGTTAACCCTGGAGATAAAAATATGACTAACTGCATACTACTCATAGCATTCCAGTTTCCAACATACACCAGAAAAGCTTTGGAAAAAATAAATCGGTCACACCTTGGTAAACATCAATACAGCAAGACTTCTACCCAGCTAGATACAGACGGTTACATTTTCATGTATGATTACCATAAGGTTTTTTTCATTTACCATTAATCAAACATTGTTCTTTTCTTAATATCTTTGAGATTTTAGCCATAATTTCATTTTGATCATAATTAGGCCACAATACTCGTTTGTGAAGAGCCCCTCTAATATGCATTTGTTTGGCATGTGCAGAACGTTCCCCAAATATTGCATATTTAGGGCAGATGTCACTTAAGACAATAGCAACCCTAAAGTGCTGTATTTTATCAGCTAGCTACTACAATAATTAGGGTGCCTCCAAGACCCACGGTGGTTCATGCTTGTTATGTCATTTCTAGAGATCTAGTCTCTAGTTTTCAATTAGCTTTACAGAGACTGATTGCCTCCAATTTTAAAGATATGTGCTTGTACAGTGAGGTTACAATATATCCCCAGTTTCTGCTATATTACTTTTTTGCCAGCCAGCCATTGCCAATACAAATTTTACTAATTTCTAACAGTTTAAAAGGGTAATTAATAGAACATCACAGTAACGCAAGTACATTTATCATAATTACATACTGGCCTACTTGTCGAATTACCATAGGCTGGAATGCATTTGTTTTTAATAATTAATGGTTAAAAAAAACCCTTTGAAAACCTTATAGTATATGCTGAAGAACAGATGTTTCTGTAGCAGAATCCACATATCAAACTTGATGCAGTGTGCTAATATCTATTAAACAGGAACTGCCAATTTGGATTTTAAAATCATGCTCATTTTTCTAGTCACCCCCCTGACAAAGTACTAGCATATTATGGTAATTCAGGCCCTCATGAATTCCAGATAGCACCAAATCCTAAAGGACAGACACAAAATTTTCCCTATATTAAGTCTAATTAAAATAGCAGACACTTTCCCCTTTGTGACCTCCACCTCACTTGGTTAAGTCTGATATGGATTTTCTAATAGAAAATCGTAAAATCTACCCCCAGAAGAAAGAAAGAAGTGGATGTGCAAATAATTGTAAGCTGTACAGAAGCCTATTGTAAGCTGTACAGAAGCTCTGTTTCCCCCTTTTCGTACATACAATAGAATTCTAAATCTTTCTAAAGACTTTTGCCATGGGCCTGAGATCTACCAACAATAAAAAGGACTTGGATTATTTCTGTGAGGTCATATCTTCAAGCACTAGAAAGTTCCCCCGCTCTGAATAAAGCTGTAAGTTTAGCAGGTTTGGCCCTCAAGGCCAGATCATTCATGCACGACTCGTGATATTCAGACCAGGGCTCCTGAGCCACAAATGTCTCTTTACCACCTTACTGTCTGCTGCTCTTAGCAGAAAATGTTATTTCTTTTTTACTGCATGCACTGTGCACATGTCTATACTTTGCTTCAAGCAAGTATTTACAGAAACACGGTAACCACCAATGAGGCTTATTTATCACTTTTCTGAGTGTTTTCCCCTGTTGATCTGTGTAAATGTTAAATAATTTAACTTAGAGTAGCTCTTTTCTTCTAGACTGAAATGTGTATTCTGAAATTCACCTAAGAATACATGCACTGCTGTGGCTCTTTGCAAGATACCGACGGGGCATATGGCTTCAGAAGCATTCATGACCAAGTATCCCAGCATTAGTATTATACCACATCACAAAAAAAGGATTTGAACCTCAATAAAAAAAGGTCTTTGATCAAATATAAAGTGACAATGGAAGTATCTCAGTTCCTATTCAATTTTGCATATTTACTCTTATTTATTTTAAACTGAAAATATTAAAACTAACCCAACAGATTCTTTTTAAAATATGGAAGTTCACAGTACTTACCTGAGAGCCAGTACAGCACAGCACATTTCCCACTTTCTGCCTTTGGTGGCAAATAGATTCCAAATTTCATTTTGCATTTCAACTCAACACTGTAGCAACAAAATATATTTAATTCACAGCACTGTATAAATCAACAAGACCATAATAACAACAGACGAAAATGAAGCATTTACCCTAGCATTTCTACCATCACCACAGCACAGGGTTTGGTCACTGTTGGTTCAAAGGATTATAATAATTTAAGAGTGAAAAGAAGTAAGTACAAAGTGAGTAACATGAATTGATATTAACCTGTTCAATACATACTGACTATATTTCTATTATGTTTTAAATACATTACAGAAAGTAAACCATATCCTCACGGTCTTGCTCATAGAGAATCATTTGAAAATTGGCATTAGAAATCTAGAAGCCCAGCAACGTTTCACATAAGTCTAGCCTTAAAACTTGGAAAGCATATAGAAAGAAGAACGTTACTAAGGAATGTACAGAAATGGCTTGCATCATTTCCAACGCAGTATATATGACTGCTAGCCTCAAGTTTTTCATTGCCTTAGACCAACAGGCTAATCAACTGTACAACTTCCTTTAGGGTAAAAGTGCCAATATACTTTTTTTAGTTGTGAGTTCCTCCAACCGTAATGTTATAAAGAAGAAAATACACTCTAATTTTAAGGGCAGGCAATTTTAGAGCCTCTAATAAACATTTCAATGAATCTGATTACATTTTTATTTTAGGCCACAGGCTAAAAAGACATAAATATATTCACCTAAGTTTGACTGTCATCTATTCTAGAAAGACTATCTTTCACTACAAAAACTGGCAGATTCACAGAAAGTGGTCATCTTTTGTAGACCACATATGATACCTTAATGTTAATCAATTTGCATAGGTTAATCCTTGCCATTAAAAACATATAAAATTGATTAATTTATGTTGCAAGCTGTTGGAAACTTCTAGTAGCTTGATCGATATTTATTGCTTTGTATAAAAGTATATATTCATATCTCTATGCTGCAAATAGAGCAGCATACACTTAGTTTTGGCAATGCTATACTTTCTATAATTGCTTTACAGCATTAGGCATTAGGATAAAGCTATTAAGATTTTTAAAAATATATAAAAACAATTAGTAAGCACAAGATAAAAAAAAAAAAAAATCAGTACATGCATTTCATATTAAAGTATTTAATTGTTGTTAATACCCACATTTTATTTTTGTGATTTTCTTTAGACTATGAAAATACAGAAAGCATGGATACCAGAGATACTCCACTAGCGCTGCATTTTCAGGTGCCTTATAATGCTTACCTGTCATGTTCAAACACCTTCTGAAAACCATTAAAGCACTTGTTGCTGGAAATCTGTTTCAGCGCCATAATCTTAGCTATAAACAAAGAGAATCAAGTTACATTTCAATACAATTGTTCTCATTTGTAGCAGATAAAGATTCTACAAATAGACTGGGTTTTTTTCATTTGCATTTATTTATTGCAAGCTCTCAGAACAAAGCATCTCCAACCAAAACACTTTATGACTTTGTATAGTCATTTTTCAGGTAAGTGACAGCAATTGAGCTGAGTTTTACCATGAAATCATCATGGAAATGTTTTCCAGATTTCAAAAAAATTATTAAGTTTACCAGAACTTTTCAGGCTTAACACCAGTGGTCTATAATAGAGTACTGAACTTTGTGGCAGTTTGATAATCCTTTAAAAAAAAAAATCACCAAGAATGATATTGAAAGAAGTGAACAGAAGCTATGAAACCTCTTCCTCATTTATTCTTTTGACCATAAATTTGAGCGTCTTGTTGTTATGAGGTCCTGCTCATCATCTGTCAGTCTGGCTGCTTACTGATGTTAAAAACAAACAAACAAACTGCGCTTTACCAGAAGCAGCAGTGCATGAGGTGTACCTGGCTCCGTAGCATCTGCATCAATCAGGTGCTTCAGTGGGGCTTTTTGGCCCTTTTATCTAAAGCCATTTCAATCAGCTATTACATAAAAGCGCCACTGAAGCACCTGATCTATACGGACCTTGGGCGAGATGGGTTCAACCAATATGACGACTCTTCTGGGCATGCACGGGACTTGGTGCAGCAGCACACCAAGCTTAAAGTAAAGCACTACGGGAAAGAGGGGTTAGGTCTGTAAGCATCCTTCATGTTTATTCACCAACATCCACAAACGATCTCCACTTTTACAATTTCCATTTGAAATCTACTATTTTGGCATCATTTTCATTCTTCTGTTTTGGCAAACATGACCTTCAAAGCCTGACAAATATCAAAATCTTCTCTGTACAATTAAATCCTTACCTTTGCCTTCATTTTGTTCATAAGGTACTTCTATACATGTGTCTGGAAATATTCATGTTGGAAAACTCAGAACTAGATTTAAAATATGTAGGCACCTCACTCCCATTGCAAATCCCTTTAAAATCAATACCTTATGCACTTGCTCTACATGAATACTTATTAAATTTAATATGTATCAATATCAAACAATCACTGAAAAAATACAAAGTTGAGAGCAAAAGCGGGAAGCTTCCCAGATGAGTGCCCTACCTACTAAGCCTTGAGTCATGTAAACTGTTGATCTTTTCCCCTAGCCCAATAGATTACTAATTCTCTTATTCATAGTGGAACAGCTTCAGCAAGAATGGTTGAGAATAGCCCTAGCCCAGAACAGCTTACAGATGGCAAATTATGTTACTCCCTTGGAAAGCAAGTGAGATGGTTTTGAACTCCCTCAGAGAAGGGAATAACTGATACAACAATAACTAATAAAAAAAGAAATCGGGAGTAATTAATAAGAAACAAAATTAAGACTGGCAGTGTGTTATAAAGTTAAGTGAATTATGCATGTATCCAGTATGTACCCAAGTGGAGTACAGTAGATCTAGTATCTCATTTTATACTTTGTAATTTCTTTAGGCAGGGATAGTCTTTTTGTTAAGCACTTTTGCAGCATGTAACAGTGCCATGAAGTTATCAAAATCAACATCTTTTTTGTTACAAGACGACCCATTGGGTGGTAGTTTTTCAATCAGTTTGTGTCTTTTTTTTCTTGTAGCACCCTGACTTGTTTCTTAGTTTCTTTATGAAGCCCAATAACGCACTGTGAATTAGAGACTTTTCAATGAACTGGTAGATTGTTAATCCACAAAGGCTGTTAGATTTTTAATCCACACTTTCTATGTTAGATGAAAAAATGCTGTTTGCTTTACCTGCTTTATTGTCTGTACTTTTGTTCAAAACCAAGATCTAGTGAAATAAAAGGACACAATCCTGCAGAAAAAAAGAACTACAATTATACAGGAGGCAAATTAATTCAAGTCATAACTGCAGTTAAATCAATATATATTTTTTAAAAAACACTAAAAAGAAAGGGAATACAACATGGTTTTTGATAAAGCAGAACTCCCAAAGAGGACTTTAAAGGAGTACAAAAGGAAAATCAATTAAGAGTAGGAGAAAGGAATTAGGCAAACAATATTTTAGACTACTCCTGAGGAAGAACTTCTCTACCATTGACACCTACTTGTCTATTGAATAGTTTCGGTGCCCACAAGTAATTTTAAAACTAAACAAAGCAGACACTACAGCATGCGTGCTGACCATGGCACCCACGGCCATCTGCTTGGCACACCACCACCAGCCCGGGCTCTAAGCAGCTGCTGCCAGCCAGAGCCCAGGCTGCTCCCAGCAGGAAGCCAGGAGGCTGCAAGTCCTGCTGCGACCAGACTGGCCTCCATGGGCCAGCTGCAGCCAGAACGCTGCAAACAGATGCTCCGGGCTCCAGCATGTTGGCATTCTGGCACCTTCCAAAGTAGACATTGTGGTTTTCTCAGCACTCTGGCCAAAAAACGTTGCCTACCCCTGCACTATAGTGTAGGTAACAACCTGACAATAGCACAGAAATCTGAATTAACCATACAGATTTGTCTGTTCTACATATGATTTTCTGATAAGTCTTGCTAGCAATGAAAAATGACATTCGAAATAGCTGAATTTGTTCAGCCGTAGCAAGGCGGGGGGTGGGGAGGTAAGGTGCGAGCAGGGCAACTGCCCTGGGCGCTGAAACCAGCTACCCAGCTGGGGCAGGGCGCAGGACTGAGCCATGAGCAACTTGGTTGGGGGGGG